GGGAAGGCTGTCAGGAAAATTGTATTGGTTCCTGTAAAACCTGAAAGACTTGCAAAGAGAACAGCAGAGATTTCAAAAATTTTGAGATCATAAAAATCTTTTTCTTTCCTGTCAGTTGTATCTGGACCCTAGAATAATTTAATTTTTTTTGTTTAAGAGATGGGTGTCCTCTTTAGCAGTCATGTGTGAGCAGTGGTCTGCTTCTTTCTCTGTCTCAGCCGTGTAGAACACATTCTTTACCTTTTTTGTGCCTATTCCCAGAAGCAGCATCTATTTTCAGGGAACAATCTTGTTCCCTGTAGGCGTACTACTGCCCTGGCTCACCCCAGTCATCATACTGTGCAGAAATACCAGTTTTCTGGGAAATCTCTAGCTGATGATTAATGTTCTCTTTACTCTAAACGTATTGTTATATCAGGTCTAAAGTATCAGGTTTATTTCTTGAGTTGCTTTAAAAAAATTTTGTAGGTACTAATTCACACTTAATTTCTAGGAAGTTTAGATGCCATCTAAAGGTTTTGTCTTCTACATAACTCCCTTGTGTGTTTAGCAGATTAAGATCTGAGATGATCTCTGAGAAATGTTGAAAAGAAATGTTTCAAAAAAAGGCAAAAACCTCCCACTTTTCCAGTTGGAACTATCTGTGAATGCTTCATGCCTATTGAAAAAGAAATCACCTGGCTTAGTTGTATATTCCAACTATGCTGGTGCATACACTGGCATAAACTTAGACCTTAAAAGCCAATTGAAATTGTTCATAAAATGTGTCCTCCATGCCACCAACACAGCACAGTAAGAAAACTGTTCTCTTTTAAATAGTGATCCTTGGGATTATATTTGTTGCAAAACGCTTAGACGCATTTGTTAAGCACTGTGTAACAGCAGCAAGATAGACTGTTTGGGGGAAAAATGGAGGAGGAGGGATTACAGGTGGATAGGAGGGGTAATTCATATAAAAGGATGCAATCATGGGTTTTGTAGGGAAGAGGGGAGTTACCATGAGGGGACTAAGGTGGGAACTAATTGTATCTTCCAGTACCTAATAGGAAGTTACAGTGAAAAGAAAGCCAGGCTTTTCTTGGGGGAAAATAGTAAAATAACAGGAACCAACAGTCCTAGGTTAAAACAAGAGTAATTCCAGTTGGACATTAAGTGTCCCTGTGAGATTATCACAACACTGGAGCAGCTGCCCGGAGAGGCTGGAGAGCTTCTTTGCTCTTGGAAATCAAAAAATCTCTGAACAGTTAGGTATGGAAAGGACCACTGGAGGTAATGTAGTCTAATCTCCTGTTCAAGCAGAGTCCCTTAGAACCCATTACTCAGGATTAGTTTCCAAGTGTTTTTTTTTAATATTTCCAGGGAAGGAGATTCCAGAACCTCTCTGGCCAATCTCTTCCAGTGCTTGGTCACCCACACAGTAAAGTTCTTCTTCATGGAATCATAGAATATCCTGAAGTGGAAGGGACCCATAAGGATCATTGAGTCCATCTCTTGGCCCTACACAGCACAGCCCCAAGAGTCACACCCTGTCCCTGAGAGTGTTGTTCAAACACTTCTTGAACTCTGTCAGGCTTGGTGCTGGGACCATTTCCTTGGGGAGCTGTTCCAGTGCCCAGCCACCCCCTGAGTGAAAAACCTTTTCCTGAAATCCAACTTAAACCTCCCTTGACTCAGCTTCATGCTGTTTCCTCGAGTCCTGCCACTGACTGCAAGGATGCAAAGTTCAGTACTTTCCCCTCTGCTTCTCCTTGTGAGGATGCTAAAGACCACAGTGGAGTCTCCCTTCAATCTCCTCTAGGCTCAACAAGCCAAGTGACTCTAGGCTCATGTGGAACTTCCTGTGCATCAGTTTCTGCCCTTTGCCTCTTGTGCTATTGATCAGCACCACTGAGAAAAGCCTGGACTCATTCTCTTGGCACTCTCCCTTAAGGTACTTACAGACATTGATATGGTCTCCTCTCAGTCTTCTCTTCTCGAGGCTGAACAGGCCCAGCTCCCTCAGCCTTTCCTCACAAGAGAGAAGCTCCAGTTTCCAAATCATCCTCATTCCCCTTTGCTGGACACACTCCAGGAGCTCCATGTCTCTATTTAATGAGGAGCCCAGAATTGGACACAGCACTCCAGATTTGCCTCACCAGGGCTGAGTAGATGGGCAGGATCACGTCCTTCAACCTGTTGACAATGTTCTTCCTAAGGCACTCCAAGATACCATTAGCCTTCTTGGCCTCAAGGACACACCTCTGGCTCATGGATAGCTTGTTCACCAGCATCCCCAGGTCCTTCCCTGAAACACTGCTTTCCAGCAGGTCGGCCCTGTACTTTCTAATCTTCCTAAAGCAGGGATCTATTCTTCATTATATACATAGATTATCATGTATCCTTCATAAACTTACCTTCTTGAATGAAGTTATCTATAATCAAATCTGTATGTGCTAAATTAATTTCTGAATTAATATTAAATTTAAAACAAATCCTGTTAGAAATGATCTCTGAGAAGGTTCTTCAGCAGTGTGGTAAAAACATGTCTTGGGTATTACCGGGTAAATATTACCACCTTGGGTAATATTCTTGTTCACATTTTGGACAGTTTCAACTCTTATTAAATAAAAAATTCTAAGACTTTTAGTATTAAGTATTAGAAGGCTATAAACCCCTAATTCCACACATAGAAAGGTCCCCAGAACAACCCCTGCAAAACCCAAACCTGAAACTAATGACATCTGGCAAGGGCTAATTGGTCCTGGGAATAAGAAGTTCTTATGAGAATAGAGCCATACTATGCTGTTCTTTAGAGAACCTTGGGAATATAGAGTGACGTCCCTTAACACTAAGGACTACTTCCTTAATCCTGTCAGGCACTGCAAGTGTGAATTGCCCACTGTGCCTTTTAGAGGCATGCTCAGCATGGAACTTTTTTTGGATGCTTTTTATTTCAAGTGTCAGAACAATCCCTGAGAAGAGTTTTAATACTTTTGCCTTAAGATCAGAGTCAAGGCAGAAGCGACCTGCTTTCTCTTTTCTCTGGAGCTGTGTTACTCATCAGGGACAGTCTTTTGTGTAAACATTGTATTTCTGTTTCTTTCTCACACTCTGTCCTCAGCTCATGATCTTCTTTTCCTGTCTGCGGGAAGGGAATTAAATGTTTTAAACACATGTCTGTTTCAGCTCTCGACAATCATTTTATCATTATATTTTAATGCAAAACTTTGAAAATCAGTGGCTTTGGTTGTGATTGCTGAGGAAAGGCTTGTAGCTGATTGCATCTGACCTGCAAGGTCTTTGCATCCTGTTTCGCTAATGCTGACCTAACTGATCCTGTGTGTGCTGAACTCACCGGTGGTTTCCAAACCTTGTTGGTAGGTAACAGCTTTAATGGCCTTGCAAGCCTGCATTTGCTTTTTGATCACTGGAATTTGAAGACACTCAGCAGTCTGGTAGGTACTCTCAGTTCTTTCTGTGATGGAGAAATACGTGATTTTTTTTTTATATGAAGAAAAGCACAAGCTAATTTTCCAGGATGGAATGTTCCTGAGGTGTGGTGACCACCTCAGAATTGTGCCATTAATAATATTAGTCAGGATGTCATCCTGCAACACTGAAGTAAATGGGCACTTCAAATACAAAGGCAAGGTGGCCACTATTGAAGAGGGACCAACACTTCACTGTCAGCTGCTGAAAGATGAGGCAGAAGGGGCAATCAGTGTACAGCAGAATTCTCAAATTGGTAAATGAGCTGTTCTGATCAAGTAGGGTTTTTTTGCTGCTTCTTGACCAGTGCTTTCTGTCAGGCAAAAATGACACATTCTCAGTAAAGACCCTTGGGAATCTCTTTTTTTTCTTCTTTTTTTTCTTGTTTGTCTTTTTTTTTGTTTGTTTTGTTTTAAGTAAGGTATGATTTGTTTTCCTTTTTTTTTTTTTTTGTTTCAATATAAAGTTATTAAGTATTCATGTACTGAGCTAGAGAAGTGGATGGTTTGCAATGTTTTCAAAGTATAATTTAGGCAAACAAAGTAAGAGTCTTTCCTCTTTCAGTAACAATCATCTCAGTGATTAGTGGCAAAGAAGATGAAAACATTGTTTGAGTCGATTTTTATATAAATGGAGGGCCTGAGAAAAAAATTATGGTAGATTTCCTTACCTTAAATTCCTAGAATCACAGAAGTGTTACTAGAAAGGGACTTGTAGATTTTTTTTTTTCCAGTCCATTACTGAAAGAGTAGCTGAACTCATTCCCTGAAAATGATAGCAATATTTGACAGATAAACTCGTTTTTGTAAGGAAAGTTGTTCATCCTCAACCCAAAAATATGAAAGAAGCTTTAAACCACAGTGATGAACTAAATTGCAAACAGTATCTTTTACTGCTGAATTACAGTTTAATTTCACTCCACATAGATCCCACTTGATAGAATCCCTAGACCATATTCTTTAGACCATAAGAAAGTGGATGCACTGTACAGTTTCTGTGGAAGGAAAATCAAGATAAATAGGTTTCTAAAAAGCGAGAAGTTGACAAATACTGGCAAAATGCATCTTCAAGTATGCTTTATTTGCAGGTGATTAAAAATATTTTTAGGCAAAAAACTAGTCAATCTTATCCAGTGCAAGATAGAACATGATTTAGGGCCTAATGCCAGACAGACTGGAAAATGTCTAGATAGGACTGGTGATGCAGTTGTTGATGAATTACATGTGATTAAATGGCCCACATTCATATAGTAAAAAGATCTGATACATACATATGAGGAATTATAAGCACTTAATATTTTAACAATAAGCAGGAGAATTTGTTCAAAAAACAAGGGACTCAAAGGGATGGGAAAGCTACAGATATCTTAGTAATATCAGAAGCCATCGACATTTTTTTTTAAAGACATTGACTTGCTCCTGCAAATTACTGCACTCTTGAGAATAGTATTTGCAATTTAAAACTTATCTAAAACATCACCAAAAGGTAGCACTAATTCCTATTTTAAAAAAATTATTTTGTATTAAGAATTTTGCAAAGAACTGAAATATGGCATGGCCAAGAAGCATGAATTATCCACCATTTCAGAGACTTTGCATTCATCACATTTAAATACTAGGTGTCTGATTTCTGAAAGTCTCATGCAAAATCCAGCTATAAAAACTCACCACAGAATATTTTCAAGGATAAAAAGCTAATGTTGTTTAAAGCTCTGACAGACATCCAGTTGTGAAGGTGAATTTCAAAACTAATGGTCCACATTTTCAGAGGACATTCAAAAATATAGTTGTTGAACTTCCTGTAAATGCCCAGCTCTTATCTACACTTTGCATGGAATATTTACCAAAGCTGTAACATTGGACAGTTAATGGAATATATCACTGCCTAGAGTAGTGCCAGAGGTAACATCATTATCTTTCCATAACTGCATAATGAGAATTAAATAATCACAAAACAAAGTCCTATTATGAAATGACTTTTTCCTCATGTACAATATATATATTCATTTATATTGAATATAAGTCCAGTAATACTATCACAGTAATGTGCTGTAGTAGTCTTTCATAGTGAGAAAACTGCCCTAATCATCTTTTAACATGCAAAGCTTGGAAGAACCAGAAATTCACAGTAAGTAATACAATTTGTATATGCATCTTCTGCCATCCTAATATGAACCAGAACACTCAAGACTGTTGCTTATTTTTTTTCCTATGTTTAACAAAAGCTACAGTTCTGTATACTGTACATTCACAGTGGGATCCCAGCCCCCTGTACTATCTGCAAGAAAGATCAGGTTACCACCCTCCATCAGAGTAAACATTCTAGTATTTAATATAATAATCTTGTGAACAGTTGTTCCTAGCTTGAAGCTCAGCAGTTCAAGACGTGATAAAATTCTCCTTTTCATCTCTGTGAAAGGTTTCTTGCTAACGCATTTTGTAGTCATTAGATACTGACATTTCACATAGCTGTCCTTTAAAATCCAAGTCTACGGTGAAATCCAGGTCACGCTGTAAAAAGATTTAAATGCAACATGTAAGGAAGACGTACGTTTAGTGTGTTAATTCAGTTATCATTGTTGGGTTTGAAAAGACCAACAGATTCAAGAGATTCCTGTGGTGGTTTCTATCTTCTTGTTTTTAAATGGTCTTAACACTGAGAAAGCAGGCTGTAAGATGTGTAATAGCATTCACCATACAATCTGTGCTTAGGTCATATTTCTATACTCTTCCTGAGGTGGATTTAAAGTCCTGGTTACTTCCTGGTTCAGGAAGCTTCTGAAATGCTGCTATCATATGTATCCTATGAAAATTTTTGAAGGGTGTCCCCTATTGAGATGCTCTTAATTTAGGCTAAAGGGCTTTCCCACTAGGGGTTGTTCCAGATTAGATCCAGCAAACTTCCCATTGTACAGAAGCCCTTAGTCATTTTTTTATCTATAAATGACACATTTTTAGGGAAGAGACACTACACAGCCCTACAGAAGGAAGTTGTGTCCATCCAAGCTTTTGAAAAACTTCATGTTTCAGAAGAACAAAGGACTAGCAAATCCTTTTGAACCAAGGTGGTATCTCTTTCTTATGACAACTATCAAGAGCACATTAATTTTAGCACCTAAATCTGCATTCATACTGCTGTGCGAACAAATTTGAGATATGTTCATTTTTCCCCTGAAAGAAAATTGATAACATTTAACCCAAAAGAAAATATTCTGGTCCCCCTAGGACAACATAAGGGTGGGGAAACAGATTATTTTCCTCTTGCAGCAAGTAGCTTCAGGGGTGAATATGTTTGTTTTAATGCCAAGTTTATTTTGTGTTTATTTTCCCCTCTGTATCAGCACTACCATATCCAATCTGTGTTTGGTATGAAAATGGAAAAGCAGTGCAAAAAGGGAAGACAATGACATGTTAAGATTTGCTGAAGTTAACAAATGCAATTTTTCAACAATTACAACAACTGCATAGATGCAGTTATTTTAACTGTTTACTGTAATAGAAAATGAAGAGATACTGCTCAAGATTTTTGGCAGAAAATGGTCCAGTGTTTCCCCCTGAAGTTATAATTCTCATAGCTTGTTCTATCCACCCACAGGCTGTCTCACAGTCTCCTTACCACTTAAAAAAAGCACTAGGAGGATTCAGCCCATAGCAGAGAACCTGAGGAAGTTTTCAGCAGTCATGGTAGTGTGATATCCATCATGCTTTATCTTTAGTCTTAAATAAAGCATCTGTATTTCCTATGGAATGACACAATTTCTAAACAACCCTTTCACTCAATTAGTGAGTTTGAGTAGATTTGATCAGTGAGTTCATACAAGCATTCCTCTGAAATGTGTTACTTAATTTCCTGTTGGACTGTCCTTGGGCACCGAGTGGCAAATCACTCAGTTCCCATAGATGTGGAACTGAAGTACTGACTCTTGATCATCTTGTGTGGGCAGAAGGGATCTTTCCACTGATTTCAGCAACAGTATGAAAAACCTCTTGCCTGCTTGCATCACAAAAAGTGAGGCAAGCTGATTGCAGAGGGCAGCTGACTCAGTGATGTATTTGAATCCTTTCTCCTTTGCCATGCCAGCCTGCTTGCAGGCTGACTTCTTAACATTAGCACTGCTTTATCATTGCTGTCATCAGCTTTGGTGAAGCTGTGACTGAAGTTCTAACTAATAAACTTCAATGCCTTTAGCGCTCTCACTGTTTTACTCCTATGCATTTTCTTTATTGCTGATCACAGTTTGTGATCAGTAGAGGTGGAATTAGGATCAGGGATGCTGACTTACCACATTTTTTGCATTTGGTTTCATGGATATAGTCCCATAAATTTCTTCTCCTCTTCTCACAGTTAAATAGTCCTCCAAGTAGAAGACAGTTTGCTTCCAGTGAGTATAAGGAGCATCAGGTGCTAAAAATATATATATATGGGTATCAGTTATTGAAATTTCTTAAATGCTTTGCAAATCATATTATGACTTGGAAACAATTGGGAAAAATCCTTTCTTTTCATAGAATGCTTTATGTACTATATGCAAATGCAAATGTACTTTACAACGCAATTCTACTGGCTGTCTGGGGGTTGTCTTCTAATTTTTACTGGAATATGTCAGATGTGAATCACACCCAGTAAGAAGGATTCCACAAAGGGGGTTACAGGGCAAGATAGGCACATTTTTATGCTTTTCTTTCAACCCACATGTGTTCAAAATGGGAAAATCTTTACCACAAAGTGCTTTGAATTTCAGAAGTCTAAATTAGTTCGAAAAACAATGATACAACAGCATGAAGGAGAGGTTCATCAAGAATATTAATCACAATGTTGCAGACGAAATATTTGGCTAGTGATCCCAAACCAGCAAATTTTATAGTTTCCAGAAGGATTGAGCGGATGAAAAGGCACTTGCACCTTGATCTCTTTTGAGACTATTAAAAGGCATTTTGGGCAATTTGCCAGAGATGGAAACTGGTCAAAATTAATTTCTAGTCTTACTTAGCAGAATCACTTTGATGACCCTTTGCTATTTCAAGCTTTTAATTTACTTCTAGATGTAGGACCTCAAAGATTTCCTAACCTGGTAAAATAAATCCTCTGATAAGTTTATTTTTCTTCTATTTGCATCCCCCAGTCACATGAGGTCACTGCAGTGTATCATTATTAACATTGTATCATTATTGTTCAATAAAATAATAATTTTATTTTATTTCAACATCAATATTTCAAAAAAGTTACTTGGTTTTGAAAATTTTTTGTGACTGGGGAAATACTGATGTTTTTAAAAAAAACTGGCAGGGCAGGAATTTTTAACTGTTTTCTAAAATTCTAGAATCAAAAGACCAATATAAACCAATATTTTTCAGAAACTGTTCTGGCAAATTGGTATCTTAGAAAGGAAAAGGATTTTACTAGATAATTTCTGTCTATGTCTATCCAGACGGTTTTAATGACTGTTAATCACAATTGTTACATGAGATATCTTCTTGTAGGAGTTCAGATCCAGACTGTTTACTATTTGGACATGGCTGCATAAAATTTCAAACTGAAAACATGTTAGACCAAAATGAAATTGAATTTAAATGCTAAATCATAACTGCTGCCTTGTACACACCCACGTAGTTGTGCACATGCAGGGCCCCTGTGCAGGGCCACATTCCCTAGAAAAGCCTGACATAACTGCAAACTTGTGTGCCAAGAACATGGTGAGGGTGCGTGTAATGCAGGCTCAGGTCTCCAAATCCACCCCAAATCACACACTTATAAAAGTACATATCAATGAAGTGACATTTGGATATGTCCTACAAACTGGTGTATTTTACTGAATTCAGTGCAGCTTTGCCAACAGACACCATGTGAGAATCGTTACCAGTCTTTTAGAGAGTGGTGACCTTCAGCAGCTGATGGCCAAACAACCTTTTATGGAGTAATTCTTCTGCACCTACATTATCATGATAAACTCAACAGAGGCAGAGAAACACTTGACCCTCCTGTCTACAAATAGGCTGTCTACAGGATGAGGTTTTTGCATTTATTTCAAGACTGGTTTATTCAGTCTGGTAAATGATGCCTTAAGGGAAAGAAGTTATTCCTTTAAATATCTGCTCACCAAGGCAAGTTAGGGTTTCACATCTGGGTTGTTAGAGATGACTCACATAATCAGTATGTGTGTTTTTATAGCTTGGAAAAAATGGTAGTTTTGTTCTAGACGCTGGGGCAAGCTTTGTTGAGTTTTGGATTTGGGGATAGCAGAGCTGCTATCTCTCTCTGAGCCAATAATTCTCTGTCTAATCCGAGAAACTTGACCCAGGATTTAGATATGACTTGTGAGGGACATAAATTCACAGGCTGTAATTCCTGCTGAGCTCTAAGCTTGATAACCATTGTGAAATTATGCCTCAGTTTCCAGAGAATTCCTAAAAGCAGTTTAATCAGTTGTCCTTTCCCCATCCTGCTGACTATCCCCAAAATTACAATAGTTTTATCACTGAAATTCAAACGTGGTATAGTAAACCTTCCTGTACCATCTAACAGCAGCACTGATAGATGGATAGCAACAGAAATGAAATGAAAAGAAATACAGATTACCTGTAGAAAATCCCATCTTCTTGTGGCACTTCGTAAATTCAATATTAAAATAGGTGACCAAAGCATGAATGTAATCATTGCGCTGAATTTGGAGGCAGAATGCAGAAGTAAATTCCAGTTCTTCAGTCTTCACTGTATATATATCTACTTCCTGTTTTGAGGAGAAAGAAAAAGACATTTACACGCCGATGCCTGTGACTCTCTGCTAAGTGTTAAATGAGGTATTTTAGTGTTTCATTTAATGATCAGGCACAAAGACAACTGGCAGCCTTTTAACACTGTAAGAAATCAGAGATATACTCTAATGTGTCAATTAATAAGCAAATGATCCAGTTATCTGACTAAGCTGACAGAGAGGACACTCACTGAAAAGCGTGTGCTCTTGGGAATGGCAGGGAAGGGCTCTAGGAGCTGGGGAAAATCAGGGTAAAAAGGTGCTCTGATAAATACAGGTAGATGTTGAAATGGAGATATTGGTCCAGTTCAAAGACCTTTTATCATCAGGGGCTTTCAGCATAAGGAAAGATGACAGAGGTGGGCTTTGTAATAAAAATAAACTTGTTTGTTTTTGCATCTCTGGAAAGTGATTTGACTGTGTCAAGCAGTCAAAACATTTGAGGCACAAGAGGGGCCTGCTTTTTGATGATGATGCTTTCTAGTCCTGTGTCAGGTAACTGATTCCAAACAGTGAGCACAGGGATCTTACTCCTGTACAAGACAGAAACAAATTATGTCAGTCGTGCTATGACTTGATTGCAGTAGTTGGAAGCGACAATGTAGTCTCCAGGATTGCTTATTTCCATCAATATTTAAGTCTCACTCTTCAAGGCTTAAACTGTGTTTTTCAGATGAATCTGATTTTCTCAGCTAGGTACTGCTTTTATCCGGGCTGTTTCCAAACCTCGTAGTAATGATGGGGAGGATGGTAAGTCTGAAGTACTATTCTAATGCTGTGGGAAATATTTCCTATGCACTTTCTGGTACCTTCATTGCTCATTCTCATTGCTCTGGTACCCTTACTGCTCATGCATACAGGGAAGCAGAATTTTTGTTGGCAGAAACCCAGATTTTCTCTACTCTACCAGCTGGAGTCAGGAATTGTGTCTCTGATGTCACCAGCATTTCTTACGACTTGCACTGCAAAAATGGAGAATAGAGTCTGGACTGCCCATTAGAGGGCTCTTTTAGGGCACATTTGAAGGCTCTTGTAGAAATTGCCTTCAGTAATCTAAGGTAAGACTTCAAAAAGAAGCATAGAAAGATGCAGCCATATTTCAGTTACTGAAATAAGGTCTTTGCATGGACCACATTTGTGTTTTTGAGACTTAGAAAACTTACAGGGAGATGATTTAAGCAAGCCATAGTTTTGGCCTGTCTGGTTAACATTATTGCTCAAGAATAAGTTAACCATAATGAAAATTATTCTACTGCATTGCAATGACATCCTGTGGCACTAGTGTTTATCAGTGACCTATGCATGTAATTGGTCATTTAAAACTGCAACAACCTTCAAACATTTCTGTTCTTTCCCCCTCAAAAGAGGGTAAAAAAACAACATGGTAGGAATGAGAACTTCTGAGGTCTCCTGGCGAGTTCCATAGCAGCCTGCAAAATTTACTTTATCAAGCTAAACTGGACTGATGGGTGATAGCTGCAGACTTCTGTAATTTTTGGTGTCTTTTTAATAATCTCACTATGGGGAAGTTGGGACTTAAGTCTAGTGGTAAGGCACATAAAAGGAAACTAGCTCCCTCTCTCTGAGCTGTGTTGGCTGTGCAGGGTAAAGCGGAATCAAAAGCACTAGGAAATATTTTCATTAGAGAAGTCAGTAGAAATTTCTCAAAAATATTAAACAGATGTCTTGAATAAACTGTTGGTCACTTCTGCAGTCCATTTTTAAGGAAAGAAACACAGCTTTTTTACAATGCAAGGTAGGAGACAAAAGTGGGGGCTTTTTTATTAATTAATATAATTCTGAGAATGGCCAAGTCTAGTTTTGGTGATCTCTTTGAATTGTACTCTGGCAACTATATATTCTTACATAAAATGGCACATTCATTACAGCTAACTGTACAGGAGACAAACGACACAAATTGGAGGTAAGGTTGCTTCTAGAGTGCCATGGCACCTCTTCCCTGATCTCCTTCCCAATCAGGCTGCTCAGCTAGGATTCTGTGAGCATGGAAATAAGCTAGACATGTAAATCTCATTGGATGCCCTGGTTTGGTGGAGTTCTTTCAGGTTTTGTTTGTTTGGGATCAGAGAAGAAAACATAACTAAGTATGAAACAAACTTTTCCATGTTTTTTGGCAGTGTTACTGAAAGCAGTAGGCCCCCAGCAGGACACCTGTGCACTTACTCCTGAGTTCACTTATTGATTCTGTGGTTTGAATATGCTTTGCTCTCACTACTCTCCCTGTCTGATTTGGTATGGAAGTTAAACAGGGGACTCCTATTTGGCAGGACAATTCCTGTGCCCCTCAGATATACTTAAGAGATCATGCAAAAAAGAATGGCTCTCACAGCAGAGAGGATGCTGCATTCCCTGCATGCACCACCCCTAGTGCCTGAAGTTCCTTAAAGCATTCAGGACTTGGGTTACGTCCAATTTCTGAGGAGTTAAAAAAAAGGAAATTTTACTCAAGTCTCCAACATGTCAGATAAATGCCATGGCTACACAGCACACACAGTTGATGTCTTATTTTGCTGATTATGTAGAACCATTCAGAGCATCTAAACTGGGAATTGAAATAACTGCAGAAGCACAAGACTCTGACTGGCCTCTGAGGAATGTATCTAGTGACTTGGTCCATCCACTGACTAATGTAGAGAGAACTCAGTCTCATCTGGTAGGCTAAATTGGCTGGCTTTGAGTTGAACACAACCCTAAAAATCCCTCTGTGAATCTAATATGAACAAGCTGTGCTATCCAAAAGTGCTGTAATAAAACATTTGAATAATTAAACATTATGGCTTTGTTTATTCTCAAATGTTTTCTTAGGCTAATATTGTTCTCTGAATTCACAAATATTTTCAGGACAAAAGAAATGCATTTTATATAAATAAACCATGTGCAAAAGTAAATTAAATTTAAAAGTATATAACTCTACAGAGTCTGTTTTTCCTGCTTCTATATGACTATCTTGAACCTAAACCTCACTCCTTCATGTTTTTCATTGAAAATTTTTCCTAGTGATCAGCTTGTGAGATTAGTGACTGATTCTGGAATGGAGGGTGATTTGTGCTTGTGTACTTATTACCTGCTTTGCTCTCACAGTGCCTCTGCGTGGTACAGCACCATTCAATTTATGGACAAAAGATGTCAAAACTAAATATAAAACCTGAATAGGAACACTTTGAAAATTGTTGTCTGTCATCTTAAATTTACCAAATTACTTTCAAAGATCTTCTAAATAAAGCGTTGGATTTGCACTTCAATTAAGGGCATGCAGTTTTTTATTCCAGAGCAGCCAACCCATTTTGCTTCCTGATCTCTTTCTCTCTGGACATATTTCATAGTCTAAATAGCTGTTTCTTTTGTGTGTGCTGCAATTTTAAATTGCTCTGGCTGAGGCTGTTTTCAGGCACAGCCATCTTGCGTTCCCCTCAGTGCAGATGGACTGTGCATGCATACATACTCATCCAGAGTTCTGTTCCTTTTTGCTGCTTTCAGTAAAGGTTTTGCAGACTGGAGACATGGCTTTCCCTTTTGCATATGGGAGTATTTATTGCTGTGTTTGTTACTGGCAAAAAGTGAAAGGGAAAAGTTAGAACTGACTCTTTGGGATAAATGAGCTCTTGGATTCATGGAGCTGGTACTACCACTACTATTGATGCACACAGCCTTGCTCATGACAGTTGTCCCACATGAGGAGGATTCCTTCACCTAAAGGGAATTTTAGAGCTTTCAAGCGTTCCTGCAGGCAGTTCCTTCATTGCTAACATAATACTGTGAATAGGGATTAGTGACCTTTCTGTCTCATATGTAGAGCAGGGTACCAGTTAACCTGTGGGTGCAGATGTTGGGGCTGAGAGAGAGCAGTAACATTCTATATAAGGCTAAGAATTAGGAAGTTAGAGAAATAAATTGAGTTCAAATTCTGATCACATGTTCTGGAGTTAATTATTTATTTCATCATCAATTCAGAACTGATACTTCAGACTTTCTTACTGCAAACAGTATCATTTACCCCTTCTCCTCAGCAGTATTCAATCAGTAATTTCCAACCTTTATTTACAAAAAAGGCAGGGCAATTCAAATTCGTATCTAAATATATCACGTCTCTCTTCATCCAGTATTTGTACATGTAAAATTTGTAAGAATCCTGAGTTACAGCCTGCAGATGTAACCAGATGAGCAGAGACAAAAGGAGCATTTTGCTTTTGGGAAATCCATAAGAAATCAAGGTATCAGTGTTCATGCCCAGGTCAGGTAACAGTATTGAGCATGTGAAACATGCAAGAACTGGCAAATTGAAAACTGCACAATTTTCCTTCTTAGTGTGACAGCATTTTGTGATAATGGCTTTTGAAGCTGGTTCAAAGCACATAAAGATAGTAGCAAAACATAAGCATCAGGTCCCAAAAGAACCTTACAGTTAGGTGTAAACATTCATAATTAGGTATATTCAGAATTACCAAACCTTTATTAAGCAGGCATTGGTCACCACTTGCTTTGGATCTACTATGTCCACCAAGGGCTCCTTCATGGCAACATCCCTAATACAGGTCATGTCAAAGCCGTACACATTCTCCCACCCTGTCAATGCAAATGGATTTGTCAAGGTTAGCAGCCATAACAGAAAATATTTTTTGCTTCTCAAAGCATTTTTCTTTTGAAAGAATTTCTACCACCCCCTAATTTTTAGATGTCTCCTTCAGCTGTTTGCTCCTTGCCCCAGCTGTGTATGCCATCATTGCTATTACACAGATAATGCAGTTGTGGCAAAATAAGCCCTCAATGTGCATCTTTGAACAAGTGAACCTTATATTTTGGTATCCATAAAACTGTATTATATGAGATTTGTCAATGATTTTCGTGGCTTTAGACAATCGTGATTGTTGCCCAAAATCATCTGGTGTGTCAGACTGAGTGGTGGGAATAGCTGTTAGGGATCTACCCTTTCCTATTCGTTCTGCTTAATACTTTTTTTCCCCCTCCCATAGATCGGCAGTTTACATGCTCTTTTGATTATGTAAGTAGTTTTAGTTTCAGTGAGTAAATTACTGGCAGGAGTAGATTTGCAGGTGTGTTTCCATAGTTGCAGCTCCAAGTTTTAATCCGCACATACATCGTGACAGAAAAGCAAAAGGTTCACTTTGAAAAGATTTTAAAGTTATGCCAATCTGCTGTATTTGAATTGTTCTTCTGAATGTTCCAATAGATGCTTCCTATCATGCTGAGGATTTTTTGCACAAAATGAAAACATTGAAAAATGGAAAAGTACACTGGCTTTGCTTTTAAGGTTGGTTAACAAAGTGAAAAGAAGAACCTTCAAACAAGAGAAATCTTAGTCTTATGAAGCATGTTACTCAAGGTCCATTCAGTGTTTCTCTTCAAAATCTAAACTGAATACTGGGAGTATTTTAAAAAATAGCTTGAACAAAAACCAAAGTAAACAGATAAACACATTTATGAGCATGTTTGAAATATCTCTTTTTTTCAGAGTATAGTATTTGAACTACTGGTGTTTCCAGAGGAGAATTACTGAAAATGTAATGTGATAGAAAAATCAGCATATTCCTAAGTTGGATAAAAACATGGACATGAATGAGTCTTTGATATCTCTTTATTGGGTTGCGAATTTCTCAGCATTTCAGGGGTGCTGAAGCTTTTGTTTCAGGGATCTTGAGTATGTGAGAACTTCAGATTACATTTATAAAAATCATATGTTTTTATGTGATTACTCAGAAAATATTAACTAGGAAGCCCTGAAGAAACAATTTATTATTTTTTTTATTTATTCTTGAGGCCTCTATAATTTACTGCCCTTCAGTTTATATGGGATACCTTTGAAATATGTACCCCAATCTGTCTTAGGCAGAGAGCTGTCACGGGAGGTAAAAAATAAAATTATATGTTTTACATTTTGAAGTAAATCAGAATAACTGACTGTGGCATTAATCTTCAGTTAGAAAAATCAGAAGTTAGATTTTTTTCAAAAACTCATATTGCATTATTTCTTGATCAATATAATGGTTCTTGAATGCCCTTTAAAATGCTCAGCCACATATCTCATATGAACACAAGACTCTATCATCCTTAAGAGAGAAAAAGATGAAAAACTGAAATGTAAGGAGACACCATCAAGGATTTATAAATGGAAAGGAGAGACAAGATGGTGGTGCAGATAGATAGTGAGACAGAAATAACTAAAGACACAGAGGTATATAAGGAAAGGGGGAAGGGAAATCAGAGGTGAAATCAGAAAGTGTCTTGAAGGAAAACAACATTTTACAAGGGGAAAAAATTACTTGAAACATTTTTTTCAAATGACAAAACACGGAGCAATTTGAAAACAGATGTATTGTCTGTGAGAAAAGAAAAAGACTCAAGGTCTAGAAAGGATGGAGTTCAAAAGCAAAATGGAAGATTTGAGGCCAAAATGGCTCTGATTCCTTTACAGAATGGATGCCTCATACATCCATTTGAATCTGTACATTTTGTAAGGAGTTTAACTGTCAAGGTCATCACACAGCCAAGGAGAAAAATCTAAGCTGTGCTTGAGGAGGAGATATAATCCTTCCTGGCACCTACAGAGACTTCTTATCACCACCCCATTGCACTGGGCTCGCTTTTGACCCAAAATAGCAATTTTGACAAACTGGCAGTTCTGTGTATTAGCACTGAATTTGACTAGAGAAATACCAAGCCTTCTTTTCTGGAAGGAGGTGAGAGTCAAAGAATGAGGAGTTAGGCATTTTTATTTAAAGGTTGTCTGACCAAACAACCCAAACTTTGACATGTATCTTTGTTTAATAAATCTGCTTAGAAATTTTGTGATTTTATTTTTCTTCATAATGGCAAATACTTTTAAATGAAATTGCCCAGCTCTGAAAAATAAATAAAATCAAAAAAACGTTGAAAGGAAAAGAAGAAAGAAATAATGTAAAACTTGTTCATTTGATCACAGCAGGAGCCTGGACTAGGTCACTTGTAGATGTCACTAATAGCACCAGTTATTTGATGATACTTCAAGGAAACTCTCCCAGCATTTTAAAAGCAAACGAAAAGTAAATTTTATGCATCTATGAGGTATTTAAAAACACGAAATTAGAACCCTTTTTTAACATATAAGTAAAATTTAGATTTCTGGTCTTTATTTTTAATTTAAAAATTCTTGCATAAAATGTTTTAAGAAAAGTATTACATGTTGTGGGGTTTTTTCTTCTTGACCATGGAGAAGCCATCGTGGAGATATAGTCTTTTAAGGTTTATTTCTTCACGTGTACAATTAATTCACATCTTACTGATTTTATGTTTTTGTTATATTAAAAACAAAAATAAGGACCTGATTGGCAAAAGAATATTACTGGGTTTTGTGGCTGTTATGGTGGATTATATATTTATCAAAACAACAACAAAACGAAATCTCCTATAATCCACATTTTAAATATAGCTAGAGGTATTAAGGTAACTCCAGGCAAAGTCTTCATCAATTCATACATGCATCGCTCCTTTGCGCATTTCAAATTATTGCAAATTTCCTGAATTTATCAACAGACCAACATTTTCTCAGCGTTCACATTTATATTGGAATTCTGGCCTGCAAAGAGGTTACAGTGGGCTACTGGAAATGAAAGATTTTAGGGAAATAGCCACAGAAAAGTGTTACTGGCAGGTGCTTACTCACAGTGAATTTTGAAGTCCTTGTACTGTCTGTCTTCAATTGCTACCACGTACAAAGCAGCTCGGTCTGGAAACATTAGCCCTCCAGGTTTCTGTTGATGAATTGTGGGGAAATGGATCTCGTAATCTATTCACCTGACAAAGACATCACATTTTGAACTGCACATACAAAAACCAGACAAGCACCCCTTGCATGCCTTTATTGTTTTCCTTCAGATTGTCACACCAGCTTTAACCTTGCAGCAGTGGCAATGTCATTAGACAGTGTCTACGCAAACTTCACCAGCCAGCACTTAATCAAAAGCAAAGCTCTTTCACTGAGGTTCCCTTCGTTATCTCCTCGTTAAAGCCTAAGAAATGGCACTTGGAGATGTGACCGTGTCTTGGTATGGCACAGTAGGGAAGGGAAAGCTTGTAGTCAGGAAATAAATGGTGATTGCTCCAGCAAGGAGCACGACGTGCAGAGCACCTACCAGCCACTTGTCTCGTGCGAAGATGACTGTGTTTAACATTGACTCATAGAACAGACAGTAACCCATCCACTCGCTGATGATGATGTCTACTTGATCCACAGGTAATTCAACTTCTTCCACTTTACCTTTAAATATTGTGATTACTGAAAAGAGAATCCAAAGAAATACGTTTCACATAATAAAACACCTGACTAAGATCCTTATTGGTGAATGTCAGGCTGACCTTTTCAATATGATTCTCTTCTTGAATGCCTGTTGATAAGGCATGACTCCATGCCACTCAATGCATTTCACACTTTTAAAAAACTATTCCGAGTAAGTAGAATAAATAGAATTTTTAGCATCAGTATAAAAGGAAAAAACACAACCCAAAATCCAAAGGTCAAACAAAAAACCCCACCATGTCTAAAAACAACAGAAAAACAGGCCTTACCTGTATGTTCTCATTTTACAATGCCCTTTGCAATTTGGCAGATTTCTAGATCATTGACCAAGTAAGACAAAGAATCCACTTAGAAGCTTTTAAACATCCCTGCAGGTTTACAGACTAATGTTTAAATGTTGGGCCATATTTAGTTCAGTTGTAAAGAATAATTTTGTTTTAGGACCACTACACAAGTCACCAATCATTCCTGCTTAAAAAAAAAAAAAATCCTATTTACAAATATATTTTCAGCTTGTACTAAATAATTTTCAGTGTGCATTTCTCTGCTGTTTATATTGTTTGTTGCAGTGGATAAAATCTCATGGTTTTGGATTCTTCCTTGACAAGGTAACAGATGCACTTGAAATTTAGGAATAAGGTGAATATTGGACTTTCCATTACTAATTGATAAGATTACTCCACTACTCCTAATTAACTGCAATTTTTAATGATAGCAGTTTTTATTGATGAAGTGGTCAGCATTCAGTTTCAGATAAATGAAGGTAATTTAATTTAATTTAGCTAGAACTAGGTTAGCTAGCTGAGTGTGGAAGTGTGGGTTGACTGATTTTTAGAAATCAGCCCAAGGAAAAGGAGGCTTTGTCTTCCCCAAATACACAAAGTACTAGTATTACTCTAACCAGATGTGGCCACTTTATTTGCACAGCAAATTTTTAATCCAGACTGGTCCCCTAAGAAATAGGGAACACTGACTCAGACTGGTACCACAAAGTATCAGCTGATAAGGGCAACGTGACTGGGAAAGAGCAGAGTTCTCTTCTCTTTGCCATTATTTAAACTCATTTCTTTCACAGTTAGGAATTCAATAATTAATCTGTTGATATACTGAAGACTCTTCATGTCTATAAGCTCCAGCCATGAAGTCTCTTTAGTTCTCTTTTCTCCCAAGAACTTTCACTGCCCCAATTCTCCTGGAGTGAATTTTAGCACTTGTTGTCAGCTGCCAAAGTGATACACCTGACTTTGAAGCCCCCTGTTTACACCTAGAACAGTCAGTGTAAGCAGCTGCAGCAGCACTGGTTCCTCCCACCTCCCTTCACAAGGCATCATGTGGGAACAGATTGTGCTGTCCCCAGATGTATTGCATTTATCTGTTCTGGAAACAGTGGATTTTCTCTTGGTTCAGCCCCTTTTGCTGACTCTCCATTTTTCGAAACATTTAGGGCAGGGAAAAAAAGGGAAAATTTCCATGAGCAACAATATCCTTTGGCTCAGTACCTGTCTGCATTAAAATAAAAGTGCATGTGGGTCGGTGTAGAGTGTGAAAGTGTAAATGTTGGCTCAGGTGTGCAGTTTGCAGACCAAACTGCAGTCAGGCAGACTGCTGAACCTGCCCTGTCAAGCCTCCTCCCAAAGGGAGGCGGCTCTGCTTCTGCCTCCACAGTTTCCTGGTCACTTTTTTCTTGTGGAAACAGGGGGAGAGAGCAGAGATAAATACCTTCTGCACTCTCTGGAGTGCACTGGAACCTTCTAATTTATGCTGGCACTGCTCCCTTCACACACAATTCCTGCTGCTGGAAATCCAAATGCAAATTGATTTGCGGTGTGCTATTTGTGTCTCTAGTGGATGAAAGCCGTTCTGGGAACATATGGCCTCTGCATCCAAGGTTCAGGACAACCAAGGAGGTCACACCTCACTGCTTTAGTGCTTTATTCCTACTGTGGAGAAGACTATTTTCTAGTCCTTTGCTTCCTTCTTTTCCTGAACCAAGAGATGCATCCACTGGCTGGCCTCTTGTATCCATGTCACTGCTGTTTCACACCACAACACTTGAATGCCCGTGATGTACAATAAATATTCCTGCCAGAGAGCTTGGGGTTAGTGGGAAACTGCCAGTGACAGCAATAAAAATCAGAACAGATATGAACCAGGACAGAAACCCATTCCTGTGCATGTGTGGGCAGAGCATCAGTGCAGACACAGCTAAAAGTGGGGGCACTTGGTACAGCCCAGCCATGACCTGCTCTGCAGCAAAGGCAAGCTCTTCACAGAAAAGCACTTTTAAAACAGGAGCTGTCTCACGGCCTCAGTTAAAAAAAGACTGATTTTTAAGGTTGTTACAAAGATATCTTGTGGGCTGTGATTTGGAGGAGGACTGAAGGCATGAAATAGAACTTGTTGGGGATTATTTTGTGCTAAGGTTTTTCAGTAGCTTGGGGTTACTTCTAGGTTGTGCGGGTTTTTTTGTTTGTTTGGGTTTTTTTTTCAATTTAGTTTCCACATACTTGGAAATTTCGTCAGCTTTCTTTTCAAGCAAATAAGAAGTTTTATATGATATTTTTATTTTATGATTCAAACATTTTCATTTGAGTGTGTGTTTTGATAAGGTTTTGAAAAAAGTGTTTTCTTAAAGTGGGGAGTCAGAAAAATTAGTGAAATATTTTTGCTTTAAACCTTATTTCAATTTGAATGTCAGTATGTGTGTTTGTATTTCTATTCTGTTTAAGAGAGAAGGGGGAATTCAAATGGCAGAATTAATTTGGTAAGTTCAGTTGTAATATAAGGTCTTCCTTCTGCTTTGCTAAACTAAACTTCCCATTGATAAATTCTATGTACTTCTTCTGTCTTGATAAATACAGAAGTAACAGCAATTCCTGTGAGGAATTGTTATAGTGCCTAGAATGAGGTATTTAGTTTTGTATTTACATAAGTAAATTCTGCAAAACTACCATTTACATGTAAAACACACAACATAAATTAATCAGAAAAAGCAAAATTGTTCTCTTCTCCTTTTCCTAAAAAAAAATTATATGTCTTACTGTTGTCCAAGTGGTTGGCCTTGATAATTTTTTCTGAGTAGTCAGATATACTTGAGCATTCAATCTAGGAAAAAAAGAAAAAAAGAGAAAAAGCAAGATAAAGAGCAATTTATCTTAGAGAGATCAGCTATGTGAATGAAAACAATATCTACTGAAGGCAGCAAAGACTCTACAGAGCATGTAGCCATTGATAAAGAGTAAATCAAACCTGTGGGGAGGATTATAGTTAAATATATTTTAATATTTAAATTGCAGTCTGTGTCTGAGTTAAACTGGCTCCTGTAGAAAAGATTGTTTTTAAAATCACTGAAATATGAAAAAAAGAGGTTCTACCTACAAAATGTACATAATTTATTAATCATTTGTAATTTATTCCTGCTACTTTCGAATATTGCCTCCTCACCCACAAAAATCTGCTGAATGGAATGAATTAGGATGATGCCCCACCTCTGTATGTATTTTAAAACAAAATACATTCAACCTTTGTGAATAATGTTAAAATTCAAATATGCCAATACTGGTCTATGCCAAGAAGCAATTGTTTTCTATGTGAAAAATCTATATTCTTTAGCAAAGCTGCTATTCCAAAAGAATGCAGGTTTTTAACAGATAAGAAATGACTGAAATTTTCTGTTTACAAGAACATCCAAATCTCCATGGCTTTTTCTCTGACCAGCTCTGTGCTTTTTCTAGGAAAATAATTAGAGTGCCTCCTAGTTTTAGATTTGCCCTTAAACTTGGTAAAATCTGTGTTCCAGCATAAAAGCATGTTTTCAATGACCTTTAATACCTTTCAGAGAAAAACTACATTTCATGAATCTCTCTGGGTTTTGTGCCCCCTTGAAAATCATGAAGGCCAAAATTGCTTACAGTCACTGAATTGGTTCCTAATTTACCTCTTCCAAATTTGGCATTGAACGGGCGATGCTACTTTGCATAATCCTTGTCTCTCTAATTCCCCTATGGGAATGTCAAATAGAACTATATTACCTCTAATGAAGTGGTTTATATATCCAGTGAATCCTATTTAATCTCTAAAAGCTAAATTGTGCCTGACCTCCGTGATAGCACTCACAGATGGCAGGAGAGCAGATGCAAGGACACACAAATCCTTTATTGTTTTGATATTGTGCATGAAACAGACATAATAGCAGTCATAATATCAGTCCCAGTCCCCATGGGAACACATTGATTCTGCTTAGCTTGCCTGTGGATGTAAACCATTCCTAAAATGTCTGGCACAATGGCCTAAGGATAAACCAAAAGTGGCTTGTGGAAAGGAGCACCTGAATGCCAGCCCAGAGAGTTCAAGGAAGAAATCCTTTGGGGTGAGGGCTGTCATTTTGCTCCATCCAGGTTTTTCCCTTACTGTAAGCTGTGTAGACTGTATTCCCTGTCTATAGTTACTGCCATTATACTCATTTCCCCTGTCTTTATTTATATCTGTCTGGGATTTTCAATTCCATTGCCCATTTTGGATGGTTTTTAAATAAAGAGGGCGTATGTAGGTGTTTGCTGGTCACTTTCCAAACTTTCTAAAGAACAAGGTGCAAAGAAATAAAAAGTTCTCTCTCATGAATGACAACAAGTTTCCAAAAATCCGCTTCAGATGCAAAGAAGCAAAAGAATAAAAAACCCAAATACTTAAATGTTTCATGAAGGAATACATATTTCAGAAAATAAACTTGCTTTAGGGTGGCTAAAGCTGTTCATCTGTATTTTGACTTGGACTATATACTGTGGTTGAATTTTATTTTAAAAAGCAAGTCATTTCAGAAAAAAGAAGACTGAATTCTGTAGGTGAAGAAATAGAGGAAAAATCGGTATTGTCAGGTTTTTTTCTCAGTTTTCTTTCAAGTCAGTGATCTGCTCAAATCTGTCCTATTTTGCAAAGCATTTGGATTTTGTGAAAAGTGCATGTTCCAACAAAATAAGTCTGCACCTGAGTTTATAATCACAGAATCATAGGATGGTTTGGGCTTGAAGAGATCTTCAAAGGAGTGCCCTGATTTAAGTGAAGGCTCCTATTCTTGGCCATGTTGAAAATCATGAGGTTCACATAGGCCCCCTCCTCAAGCCTGACAAGATTCCTCTAGGAGGGGTATTTTCCCTCAAGTATATCAGCTGCACAAAACAGTTTTGTGTCATCCACAACTCGCTGAGGGTGAACTCAATCCCACTATCTGTTGTCCTTAATGAAGATATTAAATAATAGTGGTCACAGCATGGCCCTTGAATTGCTTCAGCTGTATCTGGTGTGTGTATATTCACCTCGGCTTTCATTTTACTTCTCAATCTTCAATCTTCTGCTGAGAATGTCTCCTCTTTTACTGTGGTCTCTTTCTGAAACAGTCACAACATTCCCAGATTTCCCCTGGGCTGTGTTCTCATCACCACCTTTTTATACAAAGCAGCTGACAGCTAACATCAGCCTTCATTTTCCGTGTCTGTTTAACTCCTTCTTCCCTGCACCGTCTTGTTTGTCTGCAAACACCACGGAATTCAGATAGTTCTACTGCAGTGACTGTCCTGAATTTTGTGTGACTAAATGCAGCGGATGAACCTAGGTTTCAAGGATGTTTTATGTATTTTTATGTGCCTCACTGACCCCTCCCAAGCACCGACAGCTATGTGCCAATTCTATCTCTACATTTCTTACAACAGCTGCCCCCCTTAGATGAACATCACTGCATGGCACACTGGTACCCTCCCACAAGGGTTAGGGCTCAAAGCAGGTGAAGAAAGGAGAGAAAATGAGGGGGCTGGTTCTGTTCAGGTTGCAAAGAGATCTCCCCCAGTCCAATAGCAAACTAAAAGTATCCCAAAAGTGCTTGCAATGAAAGTAAAGTCAAACTGTTTTCTGAAATGCACAGGGACAAGACAAAAGTCAGTAATCATGAGCTGTGGCAAGGGAAATTCCTGCTGATGGTAGGCCTGGAATCGTTGCTGAGAGAGTATTTAGAGTCTCTACTTGCAGATTTTCCAAATTGGACTGGACATGTCCTTGGCCAAGTTGATACAGCTTTAAATTAATGATTCTATGATTTACATATCTTGAAGACCCAGAGATAATTCTAGCAGTTGGCTTAGGTAGTGGCAAGGAATAAGTTCTGACAGTGAATAAGAAGGGATAGGAAGAACCAGACAGAGTAGTGGATGAAATTGAACCCAAAGTGGGAAAGTGTGAATAAGAGGAGAGTGATATCTGTAGTTGAAAAACCAACACTCTGCACTTGTCAACAGTTTCCACATCATGCTATTTGAAAAATCACATTTCATTGTACAGAAGAAAATGAACATTGCAGGCCTATGTAATAACTCATGGCAAATATTTGCTTTTTAAATGGAACTCTCAGTTTCCAATGGCAAATATGACCATAAATTCTCAATTTGACTATAAGATTGCCACTGCTAAGTTTCTGAAATGGCTGCTTGTCTAACACAAATCCACTCTGCAGGTTGCTGTGTACAGGGTTCACAGTGAGACAGCTCATCTGACAAGAAGGTTGAAATTCTTTGGCTGTAGCCAAAGAGTTTCACACCTAAGGGAGTTCCTCTGAGAGCTGAGTTCCATGGATAGCACACCCACCAGCTTCAGCGATGAACAGTCCATGAGCCGAGAGGGTGAGCTGGCACTGGTGTGCCACTGAGCTTTAGAAAGGCCTGAGGTAAAGCCTGAAAGATTTCTAAAGAAATCCAAAGGGGAAGAAAACAAAACCCAAAAACCCAAACACAAAAAAATCCCACAACAACAAACATGTGGGAAAGTATTTACTTTTCTTTTACTTGGTGAATTTTCTGCCAGTGAGCTGGCTCACTGTAAAACCAGATAAGCACCAGTGCCAGCACAAGGGAGGGAGGAAGACCATATGGCCAGGGATCTGAGAGATAGGAAGGTGGGAGCACAGCATCATCATTTTGTATATGCTTATACTTCTAGAGCACTGCAACATCTTTGCATGAGACCTGCATTTCTGCATCAAAGAAAGCTGTGGTTTTATCCTCCCTGAGGCTTTGAGGTAATAAATCATATTAATAAGTAATACTGGTTTACAAGAAAATAGATTCTAGCAGCCAGTCTCAGGCTTAAACTCCAAAACTTTTTCCAGCACCTTTTGATTTCAGCTATCTATAGTTTCATGCTCTAGTCTGATATTCAAATCAAATACTCAGAACTAACACTGGATTTTGAAAATATAAACCTGAGAATTGAAATGGCTTTTCATGTATCATTACCATTAATGAAGACACACAGTTTGGGTACTTAGTGACATCAGTCTTCAAATGCACAGATGTACCCAATTAAGTTTTAGTAAACAATTTTGTTGAAGTACACTGAGAAATAGGATCTATTTCCCCTTTTCTATGTTGCTATGTGTCTTCAGGGCAAACAGAAGTCAAAAGAAAAAAGAAACTGCATTTGTCATTTTAGAGTCAGTACAAATAAGTTTGAATATACTTAGTAAGCAAATCTATGCTCTCTGTAATGACTTCTCTGCAGAGAACAGCACATTCATGCTCCTAAAGTTCAATGTATTTAAGGTAATAATTTCCTTCTGCCTCTGAAAAGTGTTATTGTTGGCACAGAAAACATGCACATGCTTTCTTGCACAATTTGCTGAGTTGTAATATGCAGGAGAAAGTGTATTAAGGAAATTTGTTTCCAAGACTACAAAGTTGCAGACCTCGAAAATTTAAAAAGCAAGATAGATCACTTAACCCCTCTGAGTAGGAGTGAGTCTCTTTAACTTTTTTTTCAGCCAAGAAGAAATGTGAATATGTACCAGATCACCAAAGGTTCCACATATAAAAAGCCATTTACGTCCCAATTTGGAGAAGGCACAGTAGTGCAAGTCATAGAATAAAACAGAACTCCACTGAAGTCACTATAAACCAAGTCATAGATGAGCTTGGACAGTAGAATTTCAAACCAAGACAAGTAAGAGAAGGTAAATCACAAAGCCAAATTCCCAGGCAAAATGTACAAACAAATTCAAAGTGTGAAAGAAAGTCTTCTTACCCCATATACCTTCTTGGCTCCTGCCTTTGCAGCAAACATGGAGAGGATTCCCGTGCCACTTCCAACATCGAGGACAATCTTATCTTTAAAAACATGTTTATTGTGATACATTGAGTTTCTATAGGTTAATGTGCGCACTTCATCTTTTAACATTTCCTGTGATGAAAATAAAAGTATTGTGTCACTATTTGAAATGTTTATATACATTCCACACTGCTGCTGAATGCATTCCCTTCCTGTCATTTAAGCATTGTTAATATACAACATGAAGGGTTTCTCAGGTACTTTGGGGTGCCCACATCGAAGCAACTGTAAAATGCCAGCTACTTAGAGCTGAATTATTAAGAAGCAGCATGATGTCCCTTGTATGGTTTTATTTTGCTATTACTTCACTGTTACAATCGACAACCAGAATCTAATCTAACTACAGCACTGCCCTGGGAATAGACAGAAGCCACACAGAAATCCAAGCATTCCTTTCCTCCTAAATCATGCACAACCCAGAGGCTCAGTGGAGAGACCTTCTGAGGTTCCTCTTTGAACAGAAAAGAAATTGTTCCATAAGACATAAGAGAGCAGGCTTAACAGCCTTGCCAAGTGTGAGACAGAAGTCCATAGCAGAACTTAGAAATTCTGAATTGTAAGGTCCTCCCTCAACTGCTCTTCTGTCCACTCATTTATCCAATCAGTTTCCAGATTATGTATTAATGTGTGACCTAGACTACTATGTCACTAGTTTGAGTTGCCATTGTTAGGTGCTGATTTCTGATGCACTGATAGCAGCAGTACATGCATTTAATTCCATCGATACCTTGCTTTCTATTGTATATCTGTCAGTCAAACTGTATTAATAAAGAGGACCCAGCTCAAGACCCAGGTGCCAGTTTTAAGAGAAGTGTAGACCATTCAACACAGACTTTACTATTCTGCAAATGCTTCAGTTATGTCTAGAAGGCTGAAGGTTTGTTTATACTCTTGCCGAATTTTGTAGTTTAAGCAAGTTGATAAATGAGTTTTCAGTTTCAAGATGAAAAGGATCTGTTTACTGCCCAGCAGACTGAGGCAATCATGAACTGGATTGTTACACGTATCAGCTGCTTACTTACCTGTCTTGGCAGGACACTATGTATGCTCAGTAACTGCAGATGAATAAAAGGCTACTTTTATCATAAAGCATGATTTGGTATCAGGCAAAGAGCAGTCCATCACTGGAAAGGTGTGAGTACACCCTCATGGAAACTGTTTCCACGCATATGAAGAACAAGAAGGTGACTGGGAGTGTTCAGCATGGATTTGGAGATGACTGAGCACTTGGTATCTTTCTATGGCAAAATAATGGGCTTTGTGGATGAGGGAAGAGGAGTGGATGTTTTTTATTTTGATTTTTTTGCAAATTTTCCCACATTTTTCCCCATAACATCCTCAGTGAAAAATGGGTGAACTACGGACTACATAAATGGTCAGTGCAGTGGGCTGAGAACTGATCAGAACTGCTGCTGTGAAAATGTTGTAATGAGCAGCACAAAGTCCATCTGCAGGCCAGTCACTAGTGGTATCTCCCCTGGAGTCAATACTGATGCCTTATGGCCTGTTTTTTCAGGTGGATTCCATCTCTTCCTAGCAGACCCCAATCCTCAAAAAGAGTCCCATAGATATAAAAACCAAAAACTTGTCACTGACACCAGCTGCACAAGTAGTTGTGGACCCATGGTAACACTCCTCCTCAAGTCCTTGTTTGTGCTGTTAGAATTGAGGCAAAAATCCACCTGGCACACCTTGCTGTTGATCATCAACTTCTCAGTGACATTTATATGCTCCAGGTCTCACTGGTGCTCATGTCGAAGAGCAGCAGGCTCTAAGGGCTGCTCTAAGGGATGGACAAACGACAGCAACCTCTCCACCATGTCCCAGATCCAAGCGCCTTGGCAGAAGGTCCTGTCAGCAGATGGGGGCCCCTGTACCCTACAGGTGGGAGCCTTTGGCAGCTATCACTTGTTACTTTCTCCCAGTGCTCCTGCCTGGCTCAGAGCCAACTGGTTCTGGAGGTTTGTTGGACAGACCTTCCTGCCCCTCAGCTGCAATGAAGACACTGACCCTATTCTGTAGCCAGACATCTGCAGGTGGATCAACAGCCTCCCTTTTGTTCCCAGAAGTGACAAGTTTCCAGCCTTCACCATCAGAGAAGTCCTCACTTCCAAACCTGGTAAGTACAGACTCTGACTGCCTCTCCTTTCAGTACAGTTGGGGTTTTAGGCTCTTGTACCTTCATGCTCTCAGAGAAGATCCAGTCAGTCTCTTCCTCATGCCCGTGATGCTTCAAAATCTTCCAGCCTCCTCTAGCAGCTCCTTTACTTGTTGACACAGATGCTTTACCAGCACACACCTCCTGCAGGAAGGAAGAAACCTCCAACTTCCCAGCCTCAGCAAGAAGCTCTCTGCACTCCCTGAGACCTCCATGGCTGTATCCTTCCATAAGGAGATCCATTTGATTTAAGGTCTCTGATGTGTACTCAAAATTTCTTCTAGGTCTCCTTCCCACTCAATTGTTTCTCTATTTTCTTCCATTCTTGGATTCGATTTCTGAATACTACACTGGTAAGATGTTATTGGCAGATAGAAATCTTTTATGTTTATACCCCACAAACAATTACTAGAGTAATGGAAATAGATTTTATTTGTTATGCTGTTTGTGAGGAGTGCACTGAGTCATTTCACATTTTTTGCATCCTGCTCTTAAGGATCTCATCCTCTTGTGTCACAAAAATATCAGCAAGGACAAGGTATCAGTGACTTCTTTAGGACTCGTCTACAGTCAACATTTTGATAGTAAATGGTCCATCCAAAGTATTTCAAATTATTTCCAGCAGTGTATTTAATGGAGGTGATTAATATTCCCATCAGTGTTGCCTGTGCATTCCAGTAACATGCCAGGAGTCAAGAAACTGCTTGGCTTCTCATGCCAGCTGAGTAGCTGTTCTGCTGATGTCTGTGCTCAAACACGTAAGAGAACAAAATCCCCAACACAGCAATAAGGGAGCACCCCTGGCTGTGGCTGGGCTGGTTTGCAGCCCTCATAAATGCACTGCATTGATGCACTTGTGAAATTCACCACTGCACACACAGCTACATAAGAATCTAAGTGGGACAAAGGTTTTGAGTACAAGTCTCTAGCGAAGTGGGTGATAGCTTTGGCACTTAACCAGACTACACAATTGCCTGAGGAAAGGCAGAGGAGTATAATCATGAGCAAGTGGAATACAGATAAGTAAGTAAAAAAGAAATAATAATAATAATAATTATTATTATTATATTCTTAGTTATTTAACAATTGCTGAAACAAAAATAAAGATTACCTCATGAATTCCAAAGTGAGCATAGGAATCAAAGTAATAATCCCTGGATGTCATCTCTTCTGGATTGATGAGCTTTGCCATCTTGCCTCGTCCTGGGCAGCTTGGTTGCAATGGAACATGTATGACAGACTGAACTGGCTTTGGAACAACAGTCGGCTGTGGAGGCTGAGGTGGAATGGTGCAAACCTAGGAGAACATGGAATATTGTTAAGAGGCATCATTAAAGGAAATATTTCTCTCTATATCTAGCGTAGTGATATTATTGGTAGTGGTATTGTAACTATCTAGTAGATAACAAGTCCAAAGACACCTGGTGTATCATAAGTGAAATGAGGCTGCCTTCTGTTCTTGGATCTTTAACTTATTTGATGTCTTGGAAAATTACCTTAACAGATTTTTCCTTAATGCTTTTCTACAGATACCTAAATTAGTGCAGAGTAATGGCAAATTATTGGTATTCGCTGAAGCAGGTTGCTGCAAACATTGACATAAAGCAGTAAAGAGCTACTTTTTCTCCATTAGTGCCCTATTCTGTCAAACTGCCACAGCTTTGTGAGAGGCAGGTTGCAATAAATAAATAGTTCCCCTGCAAGGAAGAGCTCATGAAGAAAGGATTCCAGACACAGTGTTGCCAGCAATGGCAGGATTCACAATCGATTCTTAATTATCAGGTAAGGTGCCTGTCTATATTGATGAGCTAGGTCTGAGAAGGCTCACAATATCTGAAAGTCCCTGACACTATCTAAAAGTCTCTCAGGATATCAAGACGTCAGGATGTCACTGTAGGGAGCTGTGTGGCATGTGTGGTCCCTTAATGTAGTTTCCTGTAGTTGGGAGATGCAGGAGTTATGATTTTCCAACACACCATGCCCTTCAGCACTTAATTTTTTTATTGTGTATTGCACCTCCAACACCAACATTCCAATAGACACAGAATTCTCACATCCCCTTAGTTCAGATTTGATACCTGCGGCACATAGGACAGAAGACAGAATGTTTTTGAAATATGAGGTGAAACAGACCCTGGTCTGGCCCATGTGTGTATCTACATTTTGAATCCTTAATATGAAGCAAAACACTGAAAACTGAGAAAGACTGAACAATATGCTACAGCTTCACCTATGCACTAAGTCACCTGCAAATTATGGGTCAACATCTTCATATATTAAGGCCAATTGTACTTTAAATATCATATCCTCTTGTACCTTTTTTTTTTAGACTCAGTAGTTTCCCAGTGGGGACCAGAGTTGTCTGAGCCTCTCCTCGCTACTTTCATAAAGTTCATGCTGTCTTCTATAGCTTGGGACTGTGAGGTATCAATCCCTTGTACTGTCTCTGAATAGCATCAATTAGCCTAGTTCAGCTTGCTTCAATTAAAAAAAAAGAAAAAAAAAAGAGGAAGAAGAAAAAAGCCCCCACATTTTCTACCCTTGTTCATATGAAGATATATATGTGTCATCTTTTGATAGATTCTTTGGTCCATCTGTTAAAAAAGTAAATGCCAGTGCTTTATGTTCCTGTAAAACTTTTCATCCTCAAAGATACAGAAGTACTTTATTTATAAGTCTTTTCTATTTCTTACAATTTTTTATTTTCTCACCTTACCCTGTTCACCTCATCTACTTCACCTCCCATGCAGAATAATTGCTCCCAATTGGTGTTTGTATTTCTGTCTTGTCTAGTTTCAAAAATGTCCATCTGCAGGAATTTCTCTGAAGACATTGCTTCATTGCCTGTTCATTGCAAGCAGTAATACTGATAACTCATTTCTGTCAAAGTGTTGCTCTTAATATTCAACTCTTTCAAACATAATCCTGCTACTTTTAATTACATATTTGAGGTTTTATCTTTACTCTTTTTCTCCATTGGCATGCACCCTATGTAATTTTTGCAGTTACCTTTCCAAGCAGTCCTTTCTGTATTTGTCTGCTGGATTACAAAGACTTAAACTGTAGGTGTTTGAAATTTTGTTTTATTATAATATTAAATCTGTAAGGTCTTACACTTTTCTTCTGAATCTTACCCTCTGCATAATTTTACAAGCAAAATACACAAATTTATATAAATTACAAAATAAAGCAGTCACTGAATTCTGTTCCTGTCTTAGGTAAGAATGTCTCCAGGCACACAACAGTACATCACAGGCAATTGCCAAAGACATGTAATGGTGAGAAGTTATATCAGTTTTTGTAAATGAAACCGGGGGCTTCTAGCATTTCTGTTGCTGCCAAACTACAAATTTAAATGTTATTTTTTGTACAACAGAAAGCATTTGCTGCAGGAAAAGAGGCTGGTCTTGAAGGCAAATCTCCTATCTAGATCACAGGTAGTATCAATTCTGCTCCTGGCTGCATGGAAGGGTCTAGACAGGATTATGAGAACACAGTTATTCTGACTAAAGCTACAGAATGAAATGAAACCTAACAACTTAGGCTAAGAAAGTTGTCTGAACGAATTGCTTTCCTGTAAAAGAATTAACATCACTGTTTCCTAGTCTGCAACTGAATTCTGCTATGGCCAAGGGCTGGCAAGATAAGTTTTATTAAGCTACTGAGGCAGTATTGCACCTTTGACTTGCAGTACTTCTCAGATTTATCCAAACCACGTGAAGACTTACTGCTCTCAACTGTGCATTTCCATCTCTGCCAGGAAGAACAGATCCCAGCCAGCAGAAGAAGTAGAAGCCTATTAGTTCTGCTTCTCAGCTGCCTCAGTTGGTAGCCAAGCAGCCTGTGGTAAAATGTGTTGATGGCGATTGTGTGGCAGCATTCGGCTCTGAATGCCAATAGGTCATGCCCTGCCCATCCTGTGTTGTGGGTACCTCAGCCTCATGCAGCAGGGGCAGTAGAAAACTGGATAGGGGTGGTGATCCTCTCAGCCAGCAGCACTCTGTCAACAGGGACCTTAAACCAGCTGCTTCAATTCTGTTTTAGGCATACTAACACAATGCACCTTCCAGATTCAAATGGTGTACATTTTGCAGCATCTGTAATATTTCCTGCTGAAATTTCTGCATGTAGCACAGAATTCTGGAATTCGAAAACAAAGTCGAAATTATAAGAATAATATTGTGAGTGGGGCTCAGGAAATGTCTCTGTCAATAACTTGCCATAGACTCTATGCACAATTTCACTTGAGAGCGACTTATGCCCTATGACAAAAATATCTGGGGTAAACATAAACACAGTAGACAACTACAGAATAAAGAATTGCAATGAAACCTATTTTGTATCAGAAACAATAAGGTCTTCAGGTGCACAGCTCTGAGATTGTACACCAGAAGCAACTATACCTTTAGGAATATTGTGTAATTGCTTAAGGAGAAAACATGCTTTTAAGAGAAAAGCTATCTAGGAAAGACAACTTCCTGTATTCTTTCCAGAACTGAAAAGAGCCCTTGATGTGATTTGCAAGCTTAGCATATATATAGCCTACATGAGGAACAACTCATCTTTTGAATAACACCTGAAAAGGCAAAGCATCTGGCCTGGGGGCAAACCTCACATCAGTATAAAGAATCTAAAAAACTCTCTCTGCAGAACCCATGTATGGATTCTGGCCAGCTGCACACAATTCCAGAACACTGGCTTGCTGCTTAGATGAAGTCTGAAAGAATGGAAGCAGCTGCTTCAGAATTCATTCTTCACTGTGCTAAACATGCAGTCCTCTATTTTTCCATCTCTCATTTGGTACTGAAGGTTGAGGTGGGGGGTCTGAAGGATCAGAGAAGCAACTGAAGTCCTACTTTTGTGTACCACTTCAACATCTAATCCAATTAAATTAGGGAAATACTTTCCTACTTCTAAAAAGCAAATAAAATTTATTTCCTCTTTCTTTGTGGACAGGGTTAATACACTGCAGGTGATCAAATGTACTAGCACAGGACTGGTTTCTTTAAAAGCTTTGAATTCTCACAAAAGACAAGATTTGTAAACCTCATTCTTTCTCAAAATCCCACAACTCAACATCCTGATGTAGGTTTCTAAAACACATATAGGCACCTCAGTGACACCTCTGTGACTTCAAGATATACAGAGTTGCCCGTGTGCATCAACAGATACTGTTGAAGTTCTTTGAAAATTGGACCTAATCCATCCATGTGACAAGGCTGTCTGGGTGTATAACTCCCAAAATACAAAAGAGAATTGGGTATTCAAAAATCATGAGCTATTTTCAAAAATTTGAGCCTTTGAGATATATCCATCTGTCTACAAAGAGACAAGATGGTGAAATATGCACAATTCATTTTTAGGAGGTTTGTGACAAAAGCTGTGGTGTGTAGGGTAAAAATAAACTTGAATTTCAATTCTCCTTTCTTGATATTACTATGGAGACACCGGGCTGGAGGTTAAAATTCCAATCCTTGCAAAACTGTTGTTCAAGCTGCAATGTTTTATTCTTGACAAATTCTTAGTTATTTATGGCATTTTTATGACACTGAAGTAGTTAACCGTACCTTCTGCTGGGAAGTGCTTAACTTTTCTGTAAGAAACTAATTAAGAATGGAATTACAGTTTTAAATTATTCAATTTCATCTCCCTTTTAAACAAGAGGTTTTATCATATCAAAATGTCAATTTTACTTATTTTTGGAGCCAGATATCTTTCTATGTCAGAACGACTAGAATAGAATGTGCTAACACGATTTTTATTGGTCTGAACTTAATAATCAAGACCTCTAGATTGCAAGAGATTATCAACTGATATGCAATCTCCATAGCAATTCCAACAATACACCTTCTTCCTGCTGCAGATATAAAAGCACAGCCAAATATAAGAGGCATTTGCTATCCTCCTGCCAAAATTTTGTCTTCAACAAATACTTCTTGGCAGTCATCATGCAGGTTAAAACTTCTTTGACTCTTTTATCTTGTGTTGTTTTGAAGTCTGTGTCCAAGGCTTATCTTAAGTGATCTTTGGATAGGGTAAAGAATCTAATCCATTATCAGAGAAGTTTTAACCTGATTTTCTGAGGAAATGAAGCTCTTATGGAGGCCAATGCCTCCCATTAATAACTTTTGAACTTGTTCAAGCCAGTCTGCTTTGACAGACATGTGGAAATATCAAATACAATTCTATTTTGCTACATTTCTTGAAAACCAGAAATTAGGTAGAATGATAAGCGATTTGATGATCAACTAAAATTGGAGCAGCTAGATTTCAGTTGTCATGCTCTCTACCTGCTCT